CAGGGTGACCTTGAACCCACAGAGATCCATCTGCCTCTGCCTGGAATTAAAGATGTGTGCCACCATTTCCTGGCCTGTAGTGGCTGAGCTCTTCACTCTGCTGCTCAGGCAAGCTTTATTTATGAACATACAAATAGACTGTCACTACAGATTCCTATCTGTCTCCCTGCACAAAACTCAAGTGCAAGCAGAACAAAGACCTAAAACCAGATACGCTGAAGCTGAGAGAAGAGAAAGTGCGAGAGAGCTTTGGGCGCCCTGGCCCAGGAGACGACCTCCTGAGGACACTGTTAACACAGGCACTAAGATCAACAATTAATAAATGGAGCCACATGCAAGTGAGAAACTGTAAGGCAATTGGCAACATTATTTGGACAGAGTGGCGGTCGACAGAATGGGGAAATATTTTACAAGCTACACATCTGATAGAAGGTTAATATCTATGTAAAGAACTCAAAAAAAAAAACCCTACATATCAAGAGAATAAATAACCCAGTTTAAAAATGGAGTACAGATCTAAACAGAGAATTTTCAAAAGAGGACTCTCAAAATTCTTAGTCATCAAGGAAATGCCAGTCAAACTTTGAGCTTCCATCTTACACCTGTCAGAATGGCTAAATCGACAAAACAAATGACCGCTCATGCTAGCGAGGGTGTGGAAGAGCGGAACACTCCTCCATTGCTGGGAGTGCAAACTTGAAAATGATATGGCGGTTCCTCAGGAAACTGGGAACTGATCCACACCGAGATTAAGCTACAGGATATATGGGAATATATTAACCATGGCGTGATGAATACTAAAGAAGAGTTTGTATTTCGGAAGAGAGAACGAGGATACTGTTCTTGGTGTATGGAATGCTCATTGACAAAAGGGAAGAAATGGAGCCTCATTAGTTCAGTAACTGTTGAACACCTACCACGTACAAAGCTCTAGTCTAAGTGCCAGCTTAACTGACAAGGCCAAGGTTGCAATTACACTAAAAGTCTAATTAAAGCCGCGGCATCGCGAGCTGGAGGGATGGCTCAGTGGTAAAGTGTGCATGCTGCTCTTCCAGAGGATGGGGTTTCCATCCCCAGCAACAATGTGGCAGCTCCTGTCTGTAACTCCAGTTCCATCCTGTCCAGTGCTTGCTGCCATGACCGAGCAACAGGAACAAAACTCATCTCTTCTTTAAAAGGTGAACTCTCTCTCAGGAGGTGCGCTTTGGACATTGCAAAGTAGGTGGCCCAGGACAGTGATTCCCCCCCACACTCTGAGGTGATGGTGACTCTTCCAGGACACTGCCCACACAGGGAAGAGGAAGTCAGGACCCTTGGCAATGTCCCTGAGTTGAGCAGAGTTCAGAGTATAAAGATACCAAAGTGGTGGAAGTCAGGGACCAGAGTACCTGGAACTAGAGACCAACAGAGACTGTCCTTGGGTCTTTAGCTAAATTGTAGTTAGCACGTGGGTGTGAGCAAACTATCAAAGCTAGAAAAGAAATCATGAAAGGAGCCATTGGGGCATCCCCAGAGCACGTAGGGCAGTATCCTGCATGTTCCCATGGGCTAGAGAAAGCCTTCCTCACACAGGAGCAGCACCCTCAAGAGAAGGAACTAGTCACGCCAAATAATCCCTAAGACGGTTTCAACCACAAAACTTGGAAGTTTCAAAACCAGGCAATTAGGCCCAAGTAACTCAACAGTCATTCCAGTAAAAGACCAAACCAATTAAAATCATATGACCATATAGAACATCCCCAAAACTGCTGGCGTGTCTGTGGGGAAATGTCTTAATTGCTAATTGACATGAGAGGTCCCAGCCTTCTGTGAGGAGATGCCAGCCCTGGGTGGGCGGGCCTGGGCTGTGTGAGAAAGGCGGTTGAGGGATGAAGGGGAAGGAAGCCAGAAGAAGCTGTGTTCTGTGGTTTGGTTTCAGTTCAGTTCATATCTTAGGGTTCCTGCTTGAGGTCCTGTCCTGACTTCCCTCATTGCTGTCCTGTTACTTCAAAGAGTGAGCTACATTAAACCTGAAAATGAATGGAATGTACGCAATGTAGCAATGCTGAAGCAAGTGTGGGCAGCCTGGGTGTGGAGGTTCTGTTGAACTTGTCTGTATTGGGCTTCATGGTCTAAGTTGACAAGGATGATTGACAGGTCTCTTCCTCTAGAGGGAGCCAGATCTCATTACAGCTGGTTGTGAGCCACCATGTGGGTGCTGGGAACTGAACTCAGGACTTTTGGAAGAGCAGGCAGTGCTCTTAAGGGCTGAGCCATCTCTTCAGCTTCATTTCATTCAGATTAAACCTGTTCCTCCGCAAATGGGTTTGGTCAGTGTTTTAGCGTAGCGTCAGAGGGTGCAAACTAGGAAAGTCAGGCATGCACTCGGTACAGCCGGTTCCAATCACTCTTGTTTTTAACTTTTTTGAGGAGCCCCCAGAATGATTTCCATGGTGGCTGCACCAGGTTTACTCCCGCCAGCAAGAGCTGGATTCAGCTTTTGCCACATCTTTGCTGTAGTAGTAGTGGGCCCAGAGGCTCGTGCATTTGAACACTTGATCCCTGGTTGGTAGCACTGTTTGGGGAGGTTCTGCTGGAGGAAGTACATCACCGTGAGGTGGCTTTGAGTGTTTCTAGTCTCCTCCCAACTCTACCCACCTCCAGTTCTTACTCTGCCTGCCACTTGTTCACAGTTGAGATCCCTTTCCTGCTCCTGCTTCTGGGCCTGCCTGTCACAAGGAACTGTAGACTGAAATAGATCATTTATAAGTTAGGTTTTGTCAGAGTATTTTATCAAAACAGCAGAAAAAATTGACTATTTATAATTAATATTTATAATTAAAATTATTGCTTAAAGGATTTCTCGTGTATGTGTAGGGGGGCTATGGTATGAAAGAAAAAAGAATTTAAGGCTCTGCTGATTAGACATAAATTACTGAATTCAACAGAGTAAACAATAGGTTTAGGAGAAATAATAATTGCAGCTGGGAACTTTACTTGGGAGTACTTTGGACGTCCAGGTGAATCTGTTCAGGATCAAAAGAGATCAGCACAGCTGGAGCTTGGGGGAGGGGCCTGTACCTGAGATGGAGCTTGGGGGAGGGGCCTATATGTGAGATGGAGCTTGGGGGAGGGAGTGTAGACTTGAGTCAGAGATTTGGAAGAATCAGCTCATAGCAGGTTAAACTATGGACCTGGAGGAGATAATCAAGGACATGCATTCATAGCGTTTCAACTTACAGTAGTTACTTTTCATGATCTTCCAATTTTCCTTGGAAATCTATTCACGTTGTTTATTTTGTCCTTTTGACCCCTGCCTGGCTGGTGTCTAATATTAATAGCTCCCTTGCCTTCTCAAATATTATGCTCTCTCTCTCTCTCTCTCTCCCTCTCGCTCTCTCTCCCTCCCTCTCTCCCCCCTCTCGATCTCTCTCTCTCTCTCTCTCTCTCTCTCCCTCTCTCTCTCTCTCCACACACACACACACCCCTTAGGCTTAAAGCTATCCATACTTTCCCAAGGCTCAAGACAGGTGCTGGGATGGATGGTCCTGGTTGAGTTTATGCTATTGATCATTGTGTTCTACAATCCTGCTAAACTTGTCTGGGCTTCAGTAGAGTTGTTTGTTTTGTTTTTATTACAATGGACATCCTAAAGGATTGATAACGTCATCTTTCTTCTTCGCAGTCTCTACATCTCTTTCTTCTCCTGCCTTACTGTGGCAGCCAGAATCTTCAATACATATGAAGCTGAATACCAATATTTCTGGGCCTACTGAGCCTTGCATTTCATTGTTTGGCTTATTTGTGCTGGGTACCAGGATGCTAGGCAAGCCCTCTGTCACAGAGTGAAGCTCCCAGGGAGGCTGGAGAGATGGATCAGAGGCTAAGAACACTGACTGCTCTTCCAGAGGTTCCTAGTTCAATTCTCAGCAACCACATGGTGGCTTACAACCATCTGTAATGAGATCTGGTGCCCTCTTCTGGCCTGGAGTCATACATGCAGACAGAACACTGTATACATAATAAATAAATCTTTAAAAAAAAAAAAAAGAATGAAGCTCCCAGCCTGGTTTGTTAAAATGATAAAGTAAGTATTGGCTGATTTTCAAGCGGAATCTGTTCTTGTATTTGTGGGATAAATGCTACTTGAATGAATTATTAACCAATAGATTTTATTTTAGCACGATCTAAAATGTATAGAGTTAGTATACACAGACCTATAAATTCACCTCACGCCTCATCACAGCTTCCCATATTTTTAAGATCTTGCTTTAGTGATACATTTGTTAAATTAATAAACCAATATTAATGTATTATTTTTAACTAATCTACAGATTATATTGAGATCCACTATGCTGGGCAGTTCTATGGATTTTGGCAAATATACACTAGTTCTGCACACAATAGCTTCAGTTTCTTCAGGATCCCCGTGGTTGGGAGTCGTTCTTCTACAACGGCTGGTAGAGAAAAGAGCCAACGCCTGTCAGCTTGGGTTCAGCTGTGATGACAGAAACTAAGGCTTGTCTCACTCATCTTCTCGGGTGGTCTTTCACGGCTCGAAATCCTCTTTGAAGTCTTGGAGATGAGAGAAGACAACACGGAATTCGGGCAGATCTGGGCAGTCCAGGGCACCCCGAGTCAAACGTCTTTATCTGCCCCGTGTATTGCATCCCTCATTTCTACTTCTGGCTCCACTAACACCTGTAGTAAATAGTTCCGAGCTCTTATTTACTCACAGCAACACTTATCCAGGTATTTCATTCTGGCTACAGTTTCACGATCATCTTCACGGCTTGGGAAGCTCCTTTTTCCCATAGAAAAGCGCATCCCAGAAGCGCAGGGGCAGCTACTGTCCTTGCAAGCCACTCTTTCCCCAGTGGGCTCTAGAAATTGCCTCGGGACCTCAGTTCTAACCAACTCCCTCTTAGAATGTTTATTAAATCACCTTAGTGTTTGTAGCACTCGTAACAATTTAGGTCGTTCTGGTTTTAATTAGAGCATTTTATTTGGTTAACAAAAAATACTGGAAGCTTATAAATGCTTTATTTTTTTAACAGAAGAAGGCTGGGGTAGGTGCGTGGCCACTGGATGACACAGTCACTAAGCGCAACGTTCAGACTCTTCCACAGACTATAAACATTCACACATTTTTGTGATCCTCATCCACAGTTCAACTCAGTCGCTGAAAGAAGAGTCACTGTCTGAACTTTCTTCTATGGCTTTTTCAGTTGCACCATTGGGCACCGGAGCATCTGGCTTCCTGGAAAAAAAAGGGGGGGGGGGATTTAAAGATTTTCCCAACAGAAGACAAGCTTACAAACTGTGAATTAGGTTCATCGTGCAGTACTGTTTGTTGCTAATAAACCTGCCGGGTCTGCGTGTTTACAGGAGCCTCCGGTACTGCGCCCCAGCGCTGCCTCTGACTTCGGCATGCCAGGCGGGGATGATCTGCTCTAGCGCCGCTGGGGCCACAGCTATCCCGCCAGCCCTTCTGCTGCTTCTCCTTCAGCACTCTGCGTTGCAGTGCCATGGAGACAGAGATGCGACGTGGACAGGCTGGCATGCCTGGCGTTGAGTCCCTGCAGCCTCAAGTGCACACTGAGGCACAGATGGGAAAGTGAGGAATGGAAAGACAAACGGAAGCTCTGGAAATTCAGAAGCAGAAAGGAGCTCGAGAACGGCTAAGAAGCAGAGGCCAAGTGGGAGCGCTATGGGAAGGGGTGCAGAGTTGTGGGGAGGGGGGCAGCATGGTCAGAGCAGGCTCTTAATGTCCATCGGGTGTTTTCACTTAGTTTTTGTTCTTGGGCTTTTCTCTAGAGAACAAGTATAAAAAGTCTGAGTTGGAAAAAAAAAAAAACCTCAAGAAAAAAATCTCAAAGAGAGCGCATCAGGGAACACCAACTGCTTAAGCCCAAGTTCGTGTGCTATAATAAACAAAAATGAAAAATTATACTACTACTAAAAGTCATGGTGAGGGCTGGACAGATGGCTCAGGTGATAAAGCGTTTGCCTTGCAAATGAGAGGACCTGAGTTTGGATCCCACACCATGCAGAATATTTATGCAAATTTCCATATGATTCATACATGTCAATTACCACTTTTGAGCATATTACCAGAATAGCAAAATTTAGCTATCTGCAGCACTGTCTGCACACCCGTGTTTATCACTACCCTACTGACAAGTCGTGGAGCCGGTCTCGCTGGTCATCAGTGGACTGATGAATAAAATGTACAAGGAACTGGAGGCTACCGTGTTAAATGAAATAAGCAGGCCCCTCAAAGACAGTATCATGCTTTCTCATGTGGAATCTGGGAAGATATGATAATAAACCAGAACTCTTAGCAAGGAGAGGAAAGAGGAAAGCAGAATAAGAGAGAGCAACAGGGGGTGCGTGTGTGATCAAAATGCATTATTTTTTGAAATTGACATGTTAATAAAAGAGAAAAATGCTGTATGTGCGGTCATTCACGGATCCACAAGATGCTACACTGTACAGAAGAAGGGAGGAGATGTACTTTCTTCTTCCACATGTGGATGCCCACTTCCCCCATTTATTAAGGAGGATGTTTATTCTCTAATGTATATTTTTGTCATCTTTGTCACACACCAGGTGGCTGCTGCTACGTGGGTTTACACCCGCGAGTCCTCTGCTCTGTTCCTCTGATCTATGCGTCACTACTAAGGCTCTCAGTATAAACTGGAGTCAGGAATGGCGATGCCTCCAGCGTCACTCCCTTCGCTGCTGATTGTTTTCATACCCAGAATCTTTGGTATGAATCTTAAGATGGTTTTCTCCTTCTCTGAAGAACGCTATTGGAACTCTGACTGAGGGAATCACAAATCACATCGAATCTATAGACTGCGGTGGGAGGTCGACCATTTTCCTGTCATTTCCCCAATCCCATCCACTTTGTATTTCAGTCACATGATGCAGGCCTGGTCCATGACAGCAAGACATTTCTTTTCCTGGGGACTCGAGACGTGTATGTTTTTTTTTAGAAGCCAGCTTTGAGTTATGGAGTAGAAGCAGCTTGATTTTATTCAGTGGCAAAAACTAAAATCTTCCTGATGGCTCCCTTAGTTGGATTCAGAGGAGAGAGCTCAGCAGTAGGAGGCAGACGGGTGGTGGGGAGGAGAGGAGGACGTCCACAATCATCAGCCCTGAGACTCCGAGTCTCTAGTTCCTGTCCACTGTCTGCACCTCTCAGCTATAGGCCACTAACTTCCTTTTTTTTTTTTTTTTTTTTTTTGATTTTTCGAGACAGGGTTTCTCCGTAGCTTTTGGTTCCTGTCCTGGAACTAGCTCTTGTAGACCAGGCTGGCCTCGAACTCACAGAGATCCGCCTGCCTCTGCCTCCCGAGTGCTGGGATTAAAGGCGTGCGCCACCACCACCCGGCCTAACTTCCCTTTTTGCTCAAGCTAGCTTAAATGGGTTTCATAATTTTGGAGATGAAGACAGTTTAGAACACACATATATTGTTGATTTAATATTTCTTTGTTAAAAGAAGATTTAACTTTGTGTTTAAAACCTTAAGCACTTAAAGGATATAAAAATCAAGTAAACATTCTTTGGGGAAATATGCAGACAGTTTGAAATCACTTTTTTATTTTCTTTACAAAGCAGTTCAATTTAATTTAAACTGTATTCCAAAACAGTGTTAGAAAAACTATGGCTGAGCAGGAGGTGATGGAGAGGCTGGACTATTTACCCAAGTGTATATAGACATATTAAAATTATAAAAGAAGTTATAAACTTGAGAGAAAGTTGGTATACATACATATAAAAAATTATAGAAGATTTCATAAATTTGAGAGGGAGTTTGTGGGTACATAAGTAGAAATGATTAAAAAAAGACACCACTGATCACTAATTAAGAAAATGCCCTATAGCCAGATCTTACGGAGGCATTTTCTCAGTTGAAGCTCCCTCCTCTCTGAGGACTCTAGCTTTGTCAAGTTGACTTAAAACCAGCCAGGACAGGTGGGATGGAGCCCAGGTGACAGACCTGACTAGCTTGCTCAGCTTCAGATCTGATCCCCAACACAGAGTAAATAAACAGTCTGCTTTCTGCTACATAACTGGAAATAGAGATTTTCAGTCTGAAAAAGCAGAGTATACTTCTGAAAGGTCATATTCTGCATATGAAATATGTCCGTTGAAAACATGATGGTATACATAGGCAACTCAGGAGTACAAACAAGTTGTGGCCCCAAAGCTTGGTAGAGCCATGGTTTGGAATATTCACAAACCAGAGCAGCATTCATTAAACGCTCACTGCTTTTCCAGAGCTCTACCGAGCATGTGCATCACTGCTGAGGGGCCGGGCCATTCTAGTTTCCATTTCACAGATCAATCCGTGGTTCAGAGCTAGAAAGTGGCAGGGCGGACTGTCACCCTGGCTGCCTCCGGCTGGCTGTCTCTAGTCTAATGTAGCCCGAGTCTCCCTCACCATGAACTTGCTCCTGAGACACATGGGACCAAAGGCCAATCTGTCTGTCATCCTAGATGAACAGATGTAGTCATTACTGGGTAATTCTGACATTAGTTCTGAGATACGAGGGGTGAAACTTCGGTTTCCTGGTACGGAAATCTAGGCACTGATTCAAAGTTTTAAAAGTATGATTTACTCATTCTGTATTTCTGGGACAACATTAAAGCAGATGAATCTCTGAATAGAGGTTAATTAAGTTTCAATTTCACCTTAAACTAGGGAAGACAGTGACATCCCCACATCTTTTTTATGTCAGTAGCACCAAAACTAATCTTGAGAAGCCGGGGATTTAAAAAAAAGTAATTAAAACAATCAGAAGCATCAAACAAATACTTGTTTGGTAATTATCAAACATTTTCATCAGTTTTGTAGACATCTCAAATTCAAGGATAGGCATAATTTTGCAGTAAATTGCCAGGCTTCCTCATGCAAACTTTCCTTTGAGACAGTGTGTGTTCTGTCCCCAGCTCTGGACGTATAGCAGCCAGTCTGACATGCTTAGAGACCGGGTTGTTTCTCCCTCAACTCCAGTTCTGCTCTCTGTCCAGATCAGACAGATCTAGACCAGCTTTTCTAACAGTTATACGAGTTTGCCTTACTACCTGGAGCTAATAAAACAGAAAGTGTGTGTTTATACTCTTAAAGAAAAGACAATCAGGATGCTCTTTACTCAAAGTTCTTGGAAGAGGCTTATTTTGTACCTAAGATTCTAAATAAAACTACGTTCCCCTTGGATGGTACATTTCCTTCTTGAACACCACGTCAAACTTCTCTCCTTGAGTGAAGGTCCCTACCTTGTGTAACTCGGATTCCACAGCCCCAGACTTCCTCTGTGAACAAGGTTGCTGCTACATCACAATAAGCTAATGGAGACGTTGTAGCGGTGACTGCATAAGTGAGTCAGTCCACTCCAACCAGTGCCCCTGGTGGCCAGTGGCCTGTACCTATGAGGTAATGGGTCAGAAGGCAGCCTCTCGGCTGTGGTTGAGAAGCAGCCTTTCGGTAAGGCCATGCTGTTACTGGAATCCTACCCTACAACTTGGCATCCACCTCACATCTGAATGTTTTTCAGCATTTACAGACAATGACATACACCGTGCCATTGCTAAGGGGGCTATAAGAGCACACTGGGTGTGTGTGGGCTTCTCCGCTGGATAACCGCTTACAGATCCCTTAGGGTGACAATATCCAACACTCTTGAAGAATAAGGAGTTACCTAGGCCAATAAGACAGGGGAAAGGGGTTCCAAGGAGAGTTAAAAATGTCAAAAGGGAGTAGAAAGATGATATATTCAGAAAAACACAAGTCATTTGCAACGGCTGCACAAAATGAACATGGACAGAATCAGCAAGTACTTGAGAAGCAACCCAGGACGCGACGGGAAAAGCATCTGCACGCAGCAGTTAGACACTATACGTCGAAGGCAAGAATGAAGTGATGAACAAATACACGCAGCTTTATTGGGAGTGCTTGAAGGCGAACACAGAAGCCAATCAGGTGCTACTGCGATAACCAGGTGAGAAATGAAGGGTCACGGGAACAGCAAGAGGTACGCAGGCATGTGGAAGGAGGGAGGCGACACCAAAACCGAGAAAAACCATAGCAACTGACATCACGGGACAGGGGAGAGGGAGGGAGCAAAGGTGAATGAAAGGACCTTGTACGAGGCTTCATGTGGGAAGGAGATGAATGAAGCCGTCAGTGGCCGAGGACTGGAGACGCAGCCGGTGGAGATACTTATAGGACACGGGCTTTCCTGTCTTTCCAGAGTGAAACATCACCATTTTAAAGGTCATTTGTTACTATTTATGACCCATTGTGTATTTCCAGAAGCCAAAAACATCCCAATTGATGGTAAATGTGCTTATACAATCAAGTACCCAAAGGGATTAAATCCAAATGTTCCATTCTTATTAAAATACATGCCACAATTCATCTACTTTTCAAACGTCAGAAACAATTTCCAGAACACATAGTAAACATGCCCAGATACGCTGTGCTCAATTCACCAAGCCATGCTATTGGAGTCGATCCTTCGGCCCCTTGGAAACACACCAAATGAACATACATGTTGGAAAATCCATTGTTGGCAGCTTTACAGGCATTCTTGAACTTCACATTTTTGAAGATAAAATATGAGAAGATGACTTTTATGATATTTCATTTCCAAAATGCACACCTTTTCCTGAAATGCTGGAGCCAAGAAAAATTCCAGAGCATAGTACTAGCACAGCCTGAATGCCCGGGGAACACGGGGTGAAGGAGTGCTCCAGCTAGACAGACTGTTACAAGTATCTGGAGACGTATAAAGCAGACTTGTGAGGAACCCATTAAGATATATAACTTATTGAGATGAACCACATGGCCAGCCTGGCTTGGATAAAATGAATTATTATCAAAGTTCTGAGCCGTGATTTCTTAGCATATCTAAAAAGTATTTTATAATACACATTCGACTGGCACCTATTTCATAATAACCGTTAGTGTGCACTGCCTATGTGAGTCGCTTCTCAGCCCCGTGTCACCTAGGCTGCCACAGAATTCTCTGCTTATGTATCATGACCTTAAGTGAAAAGAGGTGGACAATACCTTGTCACACCAACCCCCAAAGGAAATGTCAACATGGAAAAAAACAACGAAAACCCAAATGCCCATCTACCAAATTCTGACCAGTTTCACTAGTGAATCTCCTCTCCTGAGGTGTGCAAGGGCTGATTTAGCAGCCTAGGGTATTTCCTTTTCTTTTCCTTCCTTTCTTTCTAACATAGCAGGGGCATCATGTGGAGGATGGTATTCTCAACTATAAACACTGTATAGGAAACAGTAGGGAAAGCTCAAAACATTGTTTGTTGCACTTGACAGATCTGGTACCTTGTCAATAGGATTTTATTAGAAATACTACTTACTCCAGCAGGTCTGGATCCAGCCCTTCGGATATCATTTTGTTTCTGATTGCCATCACTGGAACCCCCTACACAAAAGTCAAAAGATAAATTCAGTTATAAGAAAGCCTTCTTCGTCATTCCCATGAACGACTTGAAAGAATACACCGAGGTTCCTCGTTATTTAAAGCACGCCCCCCGTTTGCTTTTACTGTTGCGTGTGCGAAGCATCTCAAAGACCTCCGGGCACATTCACAGCGACCTGTGGAACCAGCACTGTCTAATCCATGCACACCCAAGTCAAGTCACGTGAACCATCTTATTGCCACTTCTGCCCTGCAGGATGAGGAGGTTACTTTCTCATCCAAAGAAAGGAAGCAACGACGGCTAGGATGACGAGACATCTGGCTAACCTGATAGGATTTTCAAACAAAAACAAAGGTCTCAGAGCTTTTCAAAACATAGCGCACACCAATGTAAATGCTTGTGTAATAAGCAAACATCCATATTTCATTTTGACACTTTTGGAATGCAGAATCCAAGTAATATATTATACATTTTCTCAGACCACTACACACATGAAGCAGGGACAATACAGGTGGTAAACTGAAGAACACTGAGAATGCAGGAATATCTGCACTCAGGTTAAGAATATCAAAACAGCAAGGGAAGGATACATCAGAAATGAATACAAATGCAGTTGAAAAAAGAACTCATTTGATGTGAACACACTCCATAACTCCACATCACTGAGTGTGGATGTGTCAAGACCTTTGGCGGCAATAAATGTCCTCTGAAAGCAGCACACTCCAAGATTAATTCAAGCTAAAATGCACGAGGAATCTGAGGTCTCTGTCAGCACTCGCCTGTGCTGTAGCAGGTGGTTCTCCTGAAGCCTAGGTTCTCCACACAGCATGAGGACTGGGTCCCGTGCACACTGCCAAGCCGCACAGCACGCTACCAGAAACACCTCCGCTGTGTTCAACACTAGTGCATGCTAGGAGCTGCAGAGCCTTTGGATGCTCTTGCAGAAACAATGGTCTGATTATGGGAAACAAACGTTAGTCATGGTTTCTCGCTGTTGTTCCTCGGGATATAAATGTCAAAACAGCATAATTTGGGTGGCAGTATGTTAAAATGCTTGAATTTAAAAATTGTTGAGTTTCATTAAAGAATAGTTTGGGTTGGATATGGTTCCATGGTTAAGGGTGCTTGCAGCTCTTCCGGAGGCACCTGGAGTGGGTAACCAAGATGTTAAGACAAGCCCTACTTTTGAGGTATGTTTTCTAAAACTAAGACTTGAATAAAATAGAGTTCAAACCCAAATCTACTATTTAATTTTACACAAGGGATCAGTCTAAGTGATCCCTTAGATCCTTAAGAAGGGATCACCCTTCTCAGAGAAACTTCTTTTTGCAGTGAATGCTGGTTAATAGAACCGCAACAGGCCTAAGCGCCCTGGAGTGCTAGGCTCCAAACGGGATCGCTACATCACACCCGCTGTCACAACGGCCAGGGACCGCCATGGAAGACAGGGCAGAGAGAGACCGCAAGAGGCTGGGGGTGCTGCTTCAGAACAGAGTTTCCTAGACGAGACAAACACCACACAGATGAGCTCTCAGTTCCCTTGGCTGCCTGCACAAGACCCATACAAGATCAAACCAGTCCAAAGGACAGCATGGACGGGGAGGGCCGGAGGAGCTAAGCAAGCACCACTGGCTCTGGCAGTCATTGGTGGCCATGGGAGGGAGACTCAGTTTTCTTCAGGGATGTAGCCCCTGATAGGCTGCCATGCTCCAGTGGCTGCCCCTACGGCATGCACACACTGGCAACGCTAACTGGTCTCAGTGTACTAAAAACACTGCGGAGGACATGAGCAGGAGCTTGGAGATGTGGGGTGATGATTCAACTATTCAGGATAACAGAATGAAAAAGTTTAGAGCATTTCATTTTCCAAAAGTACTGACGTTCTAAGGATAAGAGGGAAAAGAACAGAGTTCATGCCATATTTCCTAAAAGCAGCAACAAAAAGAACCAAACAAGCTCTCAGCTTCCATTAAGCATGATCTGATGTCAGAAGGTCTTTCTATGAGCACAGCTATGTGATTTATTTATCATATGTTAGTGTAAGCCACAGGACATCACTGGAAAGGTCACAAAAATAAATTACAAAACCCAGGAAACAGAAGGGAAGAAAAATGAGGTTAAAAAAAACTGAAACAAAACAAAAAGCAAAAACCTGCAGCATCAGCATCTCCTAAAATATAGCACAAAACTGTCCCTGGGGACCAAGGGAGGGAGGCGCCTGGAAGCGCACAGGCAAGAAGCAGAGATGTTGGTAGAATAGATAAACTCCCCATTTTAACAGATCTATGGAACTGATTATGGAGAAAGAGTAACAGACATCTGAGCCTGGAGCTCCGTATTTTAACCTGACGTTTCTGGAACCAGCCACAGGAGGAGAAAACAGAAATACTCCAAGTTCAGTGCGCCTCTTGTCACTTTTGTATATTGGTATAACATAGAAAATACACCCATTTTCCCACCGTCCGCCCCTGCAGAGGCTTCTGATCACACCATGATGTAAATCTCATAAAGCCTGATAAACAAATGAAACCAGTGATTGGGCCTGGGTTCCGAGCACGCATCCCCACCGGACCTGCTGCTGTGTGTGTGGCTCAGACATCTCGTTTGCTACATTCCTGGGAGGACGTCACTTGTCAGCCGTCAGAAAGAAGCGTCCAATGTCTGATCGCAGAGAGACAAAGCTACTGGTGGTCTAAGGAGGACACAGGAGACCTCGACATGAAGTCTACGGAGCTGTGGGGTTTTCTTTGGCAAGTCATGAGGGCAGCCCGTCCAACAGAAGCAGCGAAGGGGAGCGGAGGCAGCCATGGGTCTGCATTTGCGTCACTGGAGAAAGTGTGTAAAGAAGCCACGCTAATGAAATTAGGACGGCAGCACCAATGGTTAAAGGCTTGTTTCTTCTATCACAAAACTGTTTGGAGGTCTCCAGGCCTGCCAAGATTTACACAATAATCTGTTACTGTGTTAATGAGAACCAAGCTACTAAATCTCTCTATCAGCCATGTTTTAGATTTGAAGGGGGAAAAAAAAGGGACTTTGCTTCTTGAAAAAAAATAACAAAATCAAATCCTTATATCTTAGGCTTTTTTTCCTATCATTTTATGAACTTGAATCCAAAAATTTAGTTGTAAGAAGTGGAAAATAGGAAGTTCTTTCCTTACACAGAGCAGGCATAACACAAGTCTACCGAGCTGCTGATCGGAAGGAGAACTTGTTCTTCGTAGGAGTGGTGGTGACACCTCAACCCGAGCATCCAGGCTCAGGCAGAGGTCCAAGTCTGGGACAGTCTGGGCTACACAGCAGGACTCTGTCTCAAAACCACTTTTCCTTTGCAAAGAAAGAGTCATGCAGAAACTGTGGGATGCTATGGGCTAAAAAGGGAGCCACTACATGCTAACAAGCTTCTTAATGTGGTAAAATCGACTCAACCGTATCTTCACCTTTTGATGTTTCAAAAGTCCTGTTTTTATTCATTTATTTGTTTGTTCGGTTGTTTCTTTTGAGACAAGATTTCATGTAGCCAAGGCTTACCTTCAAATAAATTTATACAGCTTGGAGCTAGCCATGAATTTCTAACCCTTCTGCCTTCACCTCCCACATTGTACCTCCACGATTAAGAATGCCAGTTTAAAATTTTACTTATTTTTATTTTATGCGCAATGGTACTTTGCCATGGCTGTCAGGTCCCCTGGAATTGGAGTTACAGAGAGTTGTGAACTGCCATGTGAGTGCTGGGAATTGAACCCAGGTCCTTTGGAAGAGCACTAAGTGCTCTTAACTGTTGAGCCATCTCCCCAACCCAAGAATGCCATGTATAGTTTTATATAAAGTGGTATGATCTTATGTTAAGGATAATATTTTCAGATAAATATTACATATACACTCAGATAAAAATATATGCAATGTTTGCTGACCAAATCATAAAACAAAACACATGCTCAATGATTTTCTTCTTCCCCTGGAAGCTTCCAGTAAAGGAATATGAAATTAATTTAAATAAACATCTTCAAGACTTTAACATGAATATGGCTATCTTAAGAAGGAAGCTTTACAAGACTTTACAAGACAAGTTACAAAGACTTGTCCAGATCTAGAAAATGCTGTGGTCTCGTATTAAGGCGGAGACTGTTCCTGCTAAGTGTTTCTGTCTTGAACCTGCGCGTGTATGTGGGTCACAAGTCTTCAGTATCAAACAGTTACTTCTGTGAAAAGGAGCATGACTGAGTTTTTACAAGGGTTATTTCACGAGATGGGTGTGTGGTCAGAAGCGCCTTTCCATTGGCTGCTCATTAGCCATCTTTACAGACACAGGCACAGCTCATGGGAGAAAACGGGTGAGGCCACACCAGACCGCTGGTAAGGAAATCGCGGTGGCTTTATTCTTAAAGTACACATATCGTTAGCAGTTCTGTCTCTATGTTTTAGGGATAAGAAAGAAATTAAAGTTCACCTGGAGGCATATGAGTTTAAAAATCTTTTAGAAAATCATTTCCAAAAGTTATGAATTTATTGTCGTGAGAACATTGAAAACACAGCTACACCAAATTCCCATATTAACACCATCCCACGCCCCATAAAATACACTTGTAACATAATAAACTTTATGTGTTAATGACCAGAAGATGGCATAAAATGTTTTCTTTGTATTTGTAACTCCTCAAGCATTTGCTGATTTAAGAGTAACTTGGTGCCTAGGAAGACCCAGTTTCTTCCCTTTACTATCATGTGTAAGGGGTATGCAGAATTTGTTGTTTGTTGAGACACACAGCCTTGGTTGGCCTGGAGTTCACTGTGTAGACCAAGCTGGTCTTGAACTCACGGAGATCCACCTGCCTCTGCCTCCTGAGTACTGGGATTAAAGGCGTGCGGCACTGTGCCTGGCTTGGTATGGAGAATTTTAGTGCTTGCTTTGACAGGTTCCTCCATGGTGGAACCATCACCTCATTCAAATCAGATAACTTCTTTCTATAAATGTATTCACTTTCATTTTAAATATTATTAT